TAGAGCGTAACACGGTCGGGTGGAAGCACGTCATTTTTGTCACCATACCACTCCAATCTCCCCTCAGTAGTCATTTACGATCTTCCATGACTTCTACTAACGCCCGCAAGCCATCTCTCCCTAGCAACTGGTCAACAGCCGGGACCACCCCGGGGGTAGGCAGCAACTACCCAACTCAGGAGAGTGAAGCATTTCAGGAGGCCTCCATTCCAGCCGATGCTAAAGCCACAGCAACCAGGTACAGCGTTGACGCAGGCCCTCGGGGTCGTGTACCGCCTTGTGATTGCGTTGAAAAAATGACCCTACAAGGACTCGAATGTGTGGGGCTCATCCATGAGAACCCCTATAATGGAAGGAAGGTACTTCCCGGCACTTATCCAGTGGTTGAACGATATTCAGGTTGCGCTAATGCGTAATAGAAATGCCGACTGTAGTCGCCACGAGAAAGTCATAGCCAAGATTTGGCCCAATGCTCATCTTGATGCGACTCGACAAGCCTTGGGCACTCGAGACGTTGAAAGTCGCATGAAAAAACTGGTAGGAATCTTCTGAGCGATACGGTTACTCCTTACCATATGCTAGGTGGTCGAAGATGCTGAAAGGGAGTCGATACTCCTATCGCAGCTGGCTGATGACGGTAGTGGCTGTGCGGTAAGGCGACAGGGGGGAGGCGCCAGTCTTGGTGAATAACATGGGTTAAGGTACGGCCCTTGAAGACGTTTACGTGCCAACCTGGCTCTGAGCCGGTACTGGTCAGCACTGGTTGCCAGTCCGGAGCTACGTACTTCGTGAGGGAGTATTGCAACTATGGAGATCTCAGCCAGTATGTTACTCGCTGTCAAGACATGTACGTTTTGGACCATTTGTGCATTTATCTCACCCTCGATTACGATCAGGTATCAGATTGAAGGCAGTCGCTTGGGCCTCAGATGGTATCTTTCAGCCAAGGAAGCTGTCAGACAAGCCATCGAATGTATCAAGTGTGTTCACGATGCAGGGTAGCAGTAGTAGTAGTAGTAGTAGTAGTAGTAGTAGTAGTAGTAGTAGTAGTAATATTAATAGTAGTAATATTAATAGTTTCTAGACGCTGGGGAATTCACAGTATTCTTTGATGAATTACAGCGAGCACTGAGTGATGACAATAGTGATTATAGTACTATTTCTCGTCCGGAACCAGGAAGATAGTAGCCAGTTTAGCGTATATTCGGGGGCTCAATCACGGCTCCCAATAGGCTTCCCACAGCCGCCCTCAAATAGTAGTTGTACCATCATTATAGCAGTGGAAGTTCTTCAGCGCACTTTCGATCTCAGTTATGCCTTACTGGATGTCGATACGAGCCAGTTCGGGGTTATGGACTTCCGAGGTTACGGCTCTGGCCTAGAGCTCGATGGTCCGCAGCCCATCCAGGTCAAAATCATTGATGCTGGACAAGCTACAGGTGAGCTTCCTTATGGCACGGCTCGATAACCTGGCAACTCTTGGCAGCTCTCTCGACCAATTCGGGATCCACTATCGGCAAGCCCTCTACGCGATGCCCGGAGGCTCAGCGAGCCGCAGTTCAAGCCGAAAGGGGCATTCCCCCTGGGGAAAGAGTACCATAACTCGCCCAACTTGTCTACGAATATGGGATATCTATCTCTCAGAAGCATTGGTCAGCAGAACGACAGGATACGTGGGCGGTGGGATTGATGATATTTGATCTACTCTGGAACTCTCCGTGGCAGCTAGCTTGCGCTGACGATCCACAGTATCGACTTTATCGCGAACGAGGGGTAAGCAGTCGCAGCTTTTCCGAATTTTCTATAGTTGATTAATCAGGTCAGAACTCTGGTGAAACGACTTCCCAGTTCTAGTAATAGATTCGGTGTTGCACCTCGCGGGGTCGACATGGTTAAGTCATTACGAGATTTACTCAGAGGAACACTCACGGCATGCGATAAGCCCGGGATGTATGTTCTCGATTCGCGCTCAGTCGTTGATGTCCTTACTCATGCATATTCAGGTTCCTGTCCATTGAAGCTGTGTTGGCGTCGCCATGGTGGCAGGAAAGTGACCATGCATGTGAGGGGGTTGAGACACCGACGACGACTACCACCACTACCAGCCCGAGGACCTGAGCTTATCCTTATTATAGCATTATTAGATTTCCCGATGTGCAAATGTACACTGATAGTTGCTCGTCCCTTCTCCCACGATCTCGTATGCAGCCGAAGCCTTTTTTTCTGATATTATTTTTCACTAGTATTGTAACCATCATGACCGGCGATGGAGCGTTGGTGTTGTTGTTGCTGATTGGTTTAGACGATGCTCTCCTCGTCATCAAAGACTGCATCATTACTGCA